TATTTTAGTTTAATAGTGCCTATTTTATAATTATAATGTCAAAAAATAAAGAATAAAAAAATGTTTTACAATGCATAGTACAAAACTGCTTGGCGATTAGGTGAGGCGAGCCTCAAAAGGCGCCTTGCCGCCTAGGCGCCCGCCTTGTCAACTATGATTTTTCTGTTTAGCTGATATTTTATCATTGCTTTATGCTATAGATGATATTCCCATGGATGTTTGATGAAATTCATGCCTTGAAACCTTTCAAAGATGCTGCTCATTTATTGGCTGAGAAGAATGATTGGCCTCCACTATATGACATTACTTCCTTGAATAATAACAAGGTGGGTTAATTTATCTTTTGTATACTCTGGCCAAAAGAATTTCTAGCTGAAATTTGATGTCTGATTGTCGATTATTTTGTCCAGTCATTTTTCTCAAGGAGCATAGCTTTCTTGGAAAATTAATGTTTCTCAAATTGGTCACAGGTGCCTGTTGCAGCCGCTGTTTATTACGAAGATATGTTTGTTAACTTAAAGCTGGCTATGGCAACTGCTTCTGAGATTGCTGGGATTAGATTATGGATAACCAATGAATTCATGCATTCTGGTCTGAGAGATGCAGGGGGACAAGTTTTAGAACATTTGATGGGAATGCTAAATGGAAAGAAGCCATTGTTTTGACAGAAAGTTGCCTACCATTTTTTTGCTTTTAGTTTTTCTGGCTGCGCAAGGTTGTTTTCTTTTTCTTTCTTTCTTTCACTTTTTTTTTCCTTGAAGGTGCACTAAAGTTGTTTTCAGTTGGTAGTCTTGATATTTACCAAAAAAAAAATGTTTGTAGTCTTGATTAACATCTTAATTTTTATCTTGTTTGTTGAAGATATTTCTTGGTAATTTCTGTTATGGGCGCAGACAATGTCTAGCGTCTGAGGTAAAAAAGCTTAGCCATGGAGTTCGATGGTTGAGGCGTTCTGAAATGTGAATATGTGATTTGTAACTGTATAATAGAGAAGAACTTGATTGTGGTAGAACTGCCCTGCACCATCCCCTTCTCTCCAAATTTCCAATTTCAATTGACCAGGAGCCAAGATTTCCACCTTTTCACTGACAACATCTAGAATGTAGTGGATTCTATATTCCCGTCTCAGACAGCTTAAAAGAACTTCTCATACAGCATATTGGCGTTTTGATTCGGGTGTTGATAAGAATTGCTAAGGTTGGAGTCATCTTTTTCGTTTCTCTTGGTTTCTAAAATGGAACCACTTGTGGCTATTCTCCGCTCAGGGATAGAACATCAAGAGTCTCCAACTCTTAACTCTGGGTTTTATTTTATCGGCCGTAACCTGTAAAGTATGACGAGGGTTTGAGTACTGCAACAGGGCTGGAAGAATGGCAACCAGATGAGCTGGAGACAAAATCATGCACAACTGGCACATGTACACCAAGCTGGGTTACCTATCACGAGTGAACACACCAGTTGTAGTATTCATACCCTCCTGATAAGTAGCATAGACCGGTGTGCATGATTTTGTCTCCAGTCAATCAGGACTTGGAATCAATGGTAGCTGAGGTGATGGTTTTAGCTCAAAGAGGAGCACAGTCTTGGCTTGAGAATTTAGATTTTGTTGTCATAAAATCTAGTATATTTTTATTTATGAGGAAATATTCCCCCTCATGGCTGTAAAGGCTATGAGGACGGATTTTGTGAGGATGAAATTTGCTGAAAGACTTGAAATCACTAAGGTTATGTTTGGTTTGAAAAAAAAAAAGTAGGGAAAAAAAGGGAAATTTATACAAGATTTGTAAAGGGTTTCTTAACTTTCGCTTCCTTTCCCAACTCTTTCCTTCAAACCAAATACAGCCTAAAAAGACAATATATAATAAAATATAGGTATATCCTCTCTCCTCTCCAATTCCCCTTGGATATATTTGCACAAATCCCTTGTTGACACTCTTGTCGTGAATTGTGATGTAAACTTTTAAGTCTTGAAAAGCCCGGCCCAGCCCAAGTCTTAGGGAGATTATTTACTTTGTTGGGCAATGCTAAACATAGGCATTCGTTTTCTTGCATGCAGCATGACTCACAGGTGATCGTACGCCGGAGCGGATCTGATGAGGTCTTAACTCCTAAAGATACGAATTCATTTTATTTACGGTCATGGCAGCTAGCTTCCCTCTCAAACTCGGTATTTCCCACCCTTCTCGGCAATGCCGACCCCCAGCACCTATATCGGAAAACAGAGTAATCTCTCTCTCTCTCTCTCTCTCTCTCTCTCTCTTACACGCCCACATCTTCCAATTTTTTTTTTCAGAAACAATGTTTTCCCCTTGCTAGTTCTCTGCTTTCCATTGTTGTTGACCATGAGTTCCCCGAAATATAAATTCAAGTGGTTTTCATTTTTCGTTTCAGTCATTTATACTGAATTATCTTGCAGGTTACGCACTCGATTGTAAGTATACCATCTCCAATTACTCAAAATTCTTACGGAGTGCTCAGAGGAAAATTTTCCGAAGCTGCTACCATCCCTCAAACCAACCAAGAACATCACACCCAAGAATTGGTTGATCTCTTACGCGATTGCGCAATAAAGGGGTCGCTCCGAGAAGGAAAAGCAATCCATGCCTTGCTGTTGAAGTCCGGCTTTGATGTCGAAAAATCAGTACTACTATTTAATCACGTGGTTCATATGTATTCAAAATGTTCTAATTTTGACGCCGCTCGAAGGTTATTTGATGAAATGCCTGAAAGAAACGTATTTTCGTGGACAGTCATGATTGTGGGTTCGTCAGAGAATGGTCTTTTCTTTGATGGAATTGGATTTTTCTGTGAGATGCTGCAGAATGGAATCCTACCGGACAAATTTGCTTATTCCGCTGTCATCCACGCATGTATTGGGCTAGGATGCGTTGAATTTGGTGAAATGGTGCATGCTCAAATTGCTAAGAGAGGCTTTTCTGCATACGTTGTTGTCAGTACTTCTCTTCTTAACATGTATGCGAAGTTGGGAAAAATTGACGACTCAGTTAGGGTATTCAATACCATGACCGACCATAATGAAGTCTCATGGAATGCAATGATATCGGGATTAGTGTCAAATGATCTTCACATGGAAGCCTTCAGTCAGTTTCTCAGAATGAGAAGGGAAGGATTTAAACCGACTACATACACGTTTGCTAGTGTTTTGAAAGCAATTGCAAAGCTGGGCGATGTTGACAAGGGTAGAGAAGTACACAACTACGTTACTGAATTGAGTATGGAGTTCAATATTCTTGTGGGAACTGCACTCATTGATATGTACTCAAAATGTGGTTGTCTATCTGATGCAACATCTATTTTTGGAAAGAATTTCTCAAACTGTGGAGTGAATACACCATGGAATGCCATGATTTCAGGCTATTCACAAGGTGGGTGTAGCGAAGAGGCTTTGCAACTCTTTATTAGAATGTGCCTGAATGGTGTGGAACCGGACCCTTTTACTTATGGTAGTGTTTTCAATGCAATCTCCACCTTGAAGTGTCTGCAGCTTGGGAAGGAAGTTCATGGAATGGTACTGAAGTCTGGGTACTGTTCAAGTGTTTTAAGTGTGAACAATGCAATTGTAGATGCATATTCCAAGTGTGGTTCGCTTGAGGATGCAAGAAAAGTGTTCGAGGGAATGGAAGAGAGAGATCTGGTGTCTTGGACAACCATGTTGACTGCTTATGCCCAATGTTCAGAAGGGAAGGAAGCATTAGACATCTTCTCGCAGATGAGAGATGAAGGCTTCAAGCCCAATGAGTTCACATTTGCTAGTGTCCTTGTGGGATGTGCTAGCCTTTGTTTGCTTGAATATGGTCGACAAGTTCATTGCCTTCTTTGTAAGTCAGGTTTGGATGATCATGAATGCATTGAGAGCGCTCTGATCGACATGTATGCAAAATGTGGTAGTATAATAGAGGCAGAGAAAGTTTTTGAGAAAATCATTAACCCCGATGTTGTTTCATGCACTGCAATGATATCGGGCTATGCTCAACATGGTTCCACAAACAAAGCCATTCAACTCTTCCAGAGGATGGAAGAAATGGGCATCGAGGTTAATTCCGTTACCCTTTTATGTGTTCTGTTTGCTTGTAGTCATGGAGGCATGGTAGAGAAAGGGCTGCATTATTTTCAGTTAATGGAGAAGAGATATGGTTTGGTGCCAGAGATGGAACATTATGCCTGTGTAGTCGATCTCTTGGGCCGTGTAGGCAACCTTGACAAGGCAATGGAGTTCATCAATAATATGCCAATTAAGCCAACGGACATGGTTTGGCAGACATTGTTAGGAGCCTGCAGGGTTCATGGAAATGTTGAATTGGGTGAAATAGCAGCCAAGAAAATCATCTCAGTTAGGCCGGAATTTTCAGCAACTTACGTACTTTTGTCGAACACTTACATTGAGAACGGTAGTTTAGAAGATGGAGTTAGCCTGAGAAATGCAATGAAAGAGAGAGGGGTGAGGAAAGAACCGGGATTTAGCTGGATTTCTGTGAAAGGCAGAGTCCATAAATTCTTTGCAGGAGATCAGCAACACCCTCAGAAAGAGGATATATATGCCAAGTTGGAAGAATTGAGGGGCAAGATGAAAACCATGGGCTATGTACCAGACTTCAGATACGTACTGCAAGACCTGGACTGAGAGGCAGAAAGCAGTTTCCCTTGAACCTATTTATTTAGTTTCTAATGGTGATTTGGCATGTCGTGGAATATGATACTCAATTCTCAAATTTGAGCCCGTTTGGGACTTGGGAAGGCTAGAGGGCTTTGACGCAGCTGCTTCTGGCTTTGCGAGGTGGGCCCCATACAGACAGCCTATTCGCCATGTTTGGCGAAAAACCGGCTGAACCCAAAAGCCAAAATAACTGTCTGAAAGCCAAAAACATGGTGGATTTCCACTGAAGCTTGTTTTAGTGGTTTCTCCAAAGCAGCTCAGCCAACGTATTTCTCAACCAACGCTTAGCCCTCCTAAACGGGCCCTGCAAGGACCACTTACACGAGTTGTCGATTGTTTACAGCTTTTCAAGTCCGGGGGCTTATAAAAGGAAAGATTTTTCTCAACCTGCCAGTGGAAGCTTGCCATTTAGCTGTAATGCTAGGAAGGAAACTGATCTTTGATTGGGAATTTGGGATTCCAAGTTATTCAACTACACAAATGCGAAAACACAACTTCCTAATCGAAGATAATCGAACTTGTTAAGCATAATTTGACACGTGAAATTGAAGCATATAGAAGAGGAAAACCAATCTGCGGATCATTAATACTTCAAAGCTTACATGAACAATTTCCATTAACCATCACTAACAATGATCTAACGGAAAGTGAGTTTTGGTCCTTTTGGACAATAAAACAAATTGATAGGTGGCTTTTTAGAGATTTTCAAAAGTCATGATGAATTCAAGAGAAATGCACAAAAAGTCATGGTGAATTTTAGATAATATCCCGAAGAATAATATAAATTTCCACTATAGTTCACCACAGATACAGGATACCAATACCATATTAGTTCAGATTAGTTCCAAGGCAGGTTTATGGAACCAGAACCTATCCTGTCAAGATCAGTTCTAGGGTTGGTTCTGTCCTTGGTGGTTCTAGAATCTAATTGTTGAACCTGTTTCTTTGTTTACACCCCCCCCCCCCTAAAAAATGGAACATGCTCTTTAAAAATCTGATTTTCAATAATAATAATAATAATAATGTTTAAAACTTATATCACCTGTATTGATTAAATTGAATAATTTAATTTATAAATTATCATAATATATTAATTTATGGTTCAAAATTTATCAAGTTACCATCGTAATTTTTGTAAATATAACCTTCTACATTACTTATTATACACATTCAAATATTAAATTAAAGAAAAAAGATCAAATCACTCAAGTTACTCAATGGTCAAACCAATGAATGCTTGAGGTCATTAAATTTCAGAAAAAGACTTAGTTATGCATTGATCAACATGAGACTTACATCAATATATAAAATGAGAAATCCTAATTTCATTCAAACTCTATCATTTAATCACTATTCTCCTAGCCTTGTCTTATCATAATAATCTCAGTTTGATCTTATAATTAATATATCCCTATACACCCCCTCAAACTCATGGGTTTGACAAATATGTTGCAATATGATGATATCCCTCATGTAAAAAAATGTGATGACATCCCCGAAACTTACAATCCTGATGTGGCCAAAAGATGATGATATGTGGCAAAGATTAGTCTAGTCCACCGTGCAGATAGTTCCATGCTTGTTGGGATGATGATGTGGTAGTCTATTGAGATGACATGGCAATTTTATGATGACTGAAAATCTCTAAACCTATGGTGATGATGATGTGGTAAGTAGCCCTGCTGCTACTTCAAGACAAAGGAGCCTACATAGGCTCGTATTGTAATTAAAATTTAACCATTATAGGTTAACCGAAGTGGGCCACAACACAATGAGCCAACAAAAGACCACATTGGATCAACAAAAATGCCATTATTGGCTGGCTTCTAGAGCCGATTCAACAACAGGCCAACATGGGCCAGAGGCCAGACTTAACATAGGCCAAAATAGGCCTAAGGAACCTCATTGGGTCAAGCAAAAATGCCTCATAGGCAAGGCCTCTATGGGCCAAAATAATAGTGTCTCAATGGGCTTTTCTTTTCTTTCTTCTTCTTTCTTCTTTTTCTCTTTTGCTGAAATGGCCACAATAAGTCTTGAGAGTGAGAGACATCATTAGCCATTATCGACTGAAATTATAACGAAATGGGCTTCGGTGGGCCGAATTTGGAGAGCAAATTGAGTTAAATCGGTTTGACCTGTCTAAACTGAGTCAACTGGGTGACCCACTTTCATCAATAGTTGCAAGTTGCAACTATGTGTTCTTCTTCAATACAAAAGTACAAAACCAAATCACCAATGACGGAGTCGGTTTCTATGACCACAAACATTTTGACGATCACAATGCAAGGTCCAGTGTGAGACACCCACTCCATCCAGAACTTCGAAAGGCAGCAAGTTACATTGGGAAGATGGGCTCTACCATCCAACTGTGAAGCTCGCTAATAGACTGCAAACTCCCCACTGGGTAGGGTAGGTGGAATTAATAGCAGTGAAGAGGGTTGATCACATAATGGAATGGTTGAAACAACAGGTAGGGAACCGAAATTGTCTGAGATGGAGATGCAGTCCAGTGAGCCTAGGGGTGTCAATTGGACTGGATTTGGTCCAATCCGGTCCAGTCTAATGTGAGCCCATTACAAATGGACCTGGTCCAATCGAGTCCAATGAATATTTTGGACCAGAGACTGTCCAATCTGTTCAAGTTCCTATTAATTTAGATTTGTTTCAACTCAAACCTGGTCCATTGACACCTATGTTTTTTATCTTCTATCAATTGGCCAGATATTGGCTCAATCCAATATAAATTCATTATGGACAGACCAGGTCCAATCCAATATGTCATATTGGTCTGTCCAGGCCGTCCAAACTCAATATGCTTTATTGGTTTGTCCAATCCATCCAAATGGATTTTGATTTGAACAAAATTAAACCCAAAACCGGTCCATTGACACCCCTAGCGAGCCATGCCAAGCAATCAGAAATCATTGATAATCAATGCTTAGTTTAACTCATTAGAACAAGTATCTCAATTGCCAAAGTCTGAACTCCCTAGAGTACTTTCGGAGCATTTGGTCAACACTGACCAATAGTGGAGAAGAGAAAAAAAAGTGTTTACCCCAGCATTAAAGTTGGTTTCAATCTTACAGAGTTAGGTAGTGATCATTGAATAGACTGTTTCTAGCGAGTAGGACTGAAGTTGATGTTGTTGAAACTGTTGGAGCACGATCCTGCCCAGAATCCCTGCTAGAAAGTAGCTGGGAGGAGAGAGTGATAAGGTCGGTAGATTGGATCTGTGAAACAATAAACAATCAGAGTGTCCAGGATGGTTAATATGGGCTAAACACTCCGGTGCTTAAGTTAGTCGAGTTGAATGAGATTGCTAAGAGAGTAGATAATAGAGAAAGAAAGAGATAGCTTGTTTTGCACGAGATTGTGCATACCTTGTAAAGGTTTGGACGTTTCCTTATATAGACATCGGGGCCCGAATGGTGTGTTCAAGATATCTTCGGAGCACGTTGCACTGGTGTTGTGATGATCCTCATTTGGTTCCTCCTGAAGCAGATGGAACTGGGTCATCACTGCCGAGTAGGCGACGTGTCGTCATGTGTTCCGGAACTAATAGGTGATGTGAGCGGATAAGGTTGGACGTGTCACATAGGTTGATACCCCAGAGGTCGGCTAACCACGCAGGTCATCAGTTGCCCAAGTTGGAGAGACATGTCAACGGCTTGAGTTGTTAACTCAAGAAGCCTTCGAGGTGGTGTGCTTCGGGTTGTCGTCAAATGGTCTGTAAGTCTCCATTTGGTCAATATTCGGTTAATAAAGGCTAGTCTAGGCCAGCCTAATCAGATGAGGTCTAACCACATGGTGCCGAGGTGTCAAAAACGGTTTGAACTTGCCACATGGCATGATATTAATTACTGGAGGGCCAAATCACCCCTCATCAGAAATCAATCCCAATGTCTAATACATCAAAACAACTGCCTTAGCTAGCAATCAACCAAATGGTCAATCACCATTCTAAATCCAGCAAGTGCCTTCTAAGTCTAGATCAAACATTTGGACTCAAGACCCTATTTGTTAGGGCTACTGATTGAGAATATTGACCATACTGGTAGATAAGTAATAGGGCAGAGGAATGGTGGGACTATCCGCCTCTTCCAGGAGCAGCGTGGAACAACCCACAAAATTTTAGAAGAAAAAAGTTGGAGCAGAAGAACAACAATACGATCATCAGCTTTGCGTCAGGTGGCATAAAAACAAGGCATATGAATGGAAAAGCAATGGTAAATTGGTGATGACGATAATGACCTTTAGGGTTGATGGTCTTTGCTTCTGATGCTCGTTCTAATTCAACTAAGATTAGAATAACGAATGCATCGCCTTCTTGGATTCTTGGGTCCAATGATGATTTTCATCGACGGGTGGCGAGTGGCGAACATGGACCATGATAATGATGAAGACAATGGGGGATGGAGGTTAAGTGGAGGAGGTGACAGATAAATTGAAGGTGGACGATAGGGTTGAAAATCTAGAGCCGGTGGGATCTTTTGAGATGATTCCAAAAACTACAAGGAAACAAATAAGAATTTTGAAATTATAAAATTGAACTAAACGAGATAGCAAACCCGATGGGTGGCTAAGATTCTAACCACCCGCTTTTAAAATTTTGTTATTTTGTTAAAACTCGCCCAATCCATGGCTTGTTCCCCTCTCTTTCTCTTACTCATTCCTTGCCTTTGCTCTTCTTGTTAAAACCCAACCCTCCAACTGGCGTTGCCACTGCAAGGTCCACCGCCCCTGCAACTGAAATTCAAATTACATTGTTTCTTCCATAGGTCATCGTTCATTCTCAAAGCACAAGACAAGAACCCTACCCGTGAATGCAAGCTTAAAAATGTTTTAGGCTTAAAAAACACATAACCTGTTGTAAGGTTTAGACCATCCACTTCAGATTCATTTCGTTATTGTAGTTGGATTGTTCGAAGCCCGCTTGTCATTTTCTGAGAAAATTTGGTGGTTGTGTGTCTGTGTCCATTGTATTATCTTGAAAAAGGAATCTTTCTTTTATTATGCTTTCTTCTCATTTGAGAATGCAACTAAGGCTCCATTCGTTTTTCGGTAAGTTATTTATCCGGATAAATGTAGTTATCTGAGAAAGTTTTTTCTCGGAAACACTTACCAGGTAATTTCATTTATCAATGTTCTTTTATTTCTCACATAAATAAGACAATGACCATTTTAGCCATAAAAATCTATTATTAAAAAGGGTATTTTTGTCTCATTCAAGTGTTGACAACTTTCCCCCTAGGTGGGAAAGTTATTTACCATACCCAGGAAAATAAACTTTCCTTATTCCTCACATAAATCTGAAAAAAGAACATGGGATTCTTGGCAAGGGAAACATTCACCCAGAAGCCATTTGATAAATAACAAACAATTTGTC